TTTAAATATTATTGTACTAAATTTCTAAGTCACCGGAAAACTAGTAGTCTAAGACCCGAAGTAAGTTCGACCTTCACCCATCTGCTTGAAAGATGGAGATTATTTAGTATTAAGCATACTGTACGCACGGCAATTTACTTAAAAATGCAACAATAATCATTTTATATTTTATTCAATTGCTTACCTTTAGTTGCTATACGAAATCTTTCTAAATCACACTAAATCGTACACGCAAAATCCACTCTAGCGCACATCTATGTAATTTTGCTACAATTTTTTTAATTTCCATGCCCGACAACCATTATAGACGACGTATGCTTGTGGCGTCACGGCATACGAGTTGGTTTTACTGCCAAGGCACACCAATAGATATTTCACATTAAAAAAAATATTACAAGTAGCCTTGACCATAATACTTTAAGCAGCCTTAATATAAAGTAGGTACTTTTCATCAAGTAGAAGAGTGAAGGACAACCCTACGTCGGATCCTGTACTATAATCGCTATTTGCCTAGCGAATTACATAGCTCTTTATAGTCGAATTACGTTATGAAAGGTAAAAGTGAAGCTTCTGTTACTTATCTATTGTGAATCAAAATATTTTTTTGCTTTTTACATTAGAAAGTGTTTAATATCTATTGTGGGTTTATTTACAGATAATATGGAAGTTCGAAGATCTATAAGAAAAAATTACGGTATTTGTATGAAATATTTTAAAAAGATCTACTTTTGCAGTAATTGTATATCATTTTCAAAGTTTATTTGTTTTTCAATTCAATTCAGTTAAATTCTTTTGTTTCGTGGATTGAATTGCAAAACAAAATTTTATATTATTTGATGCATGACAATTTACAAGTGGTTTGATGAATTCGTGTAAGTAAAAAATATATTTATTCTTATTTATATAATGTAATAATATTGAGTTTGAATGAATTGTTTCGATTGCTACATATTAGCTATTGACAGTCACGTGTGGTAAATGCGTGTTTTAATTCAATTTTCTAGCTATACAATATAATATTTATTACATTTGTGAATTTATTACTGTTTTGATTTTATGACTTCTGTACATATGAATATATTTTTTTTTAACTTTTCAAGTGTATTTCAATATTGATCAATGATATTTTAATAATAGAAATTAACTTCAAATATATTTAAAGTGAAAAAGATATAGAACTTTCGTGGCATAGCCAAGGTCTCACCATTTTAAGTTGCAGCGCACAATGAAAGTGGTATATATGTAAATAGAACACATTTAAATAAATAAAAAACATTCGCACTATAGTGCCTTAAACTGTCACGTATCCGAGATATTTTAATTTTAGTGTTATCTTTTCATACAAACCAATATTATCGTGTGCCACTTTGAAAAAAATGGCGGCGGGTGAGTAATGCTAGTTTTTAGAGGAAAATGTTCAAGCCCCTTTAAAATAAACAACACTGAGTTGCAACATTATTCCTAGCAATAGTCAATTTCAGGGGGGTTTAAAGATATTTTTTTAATGGGAAATTATAAAAAAAAGAAACTACAAACAACTTCTTAATATCAATTCGTACTTACTGTTTAACAGCTTTATTATTGATTGTTTAATCTGTACAATTGTGAACTACACTAGAAACATGTACCTAAACTATTGTGTCAATGTAAATAGTAGATATGCATAGGGAATATGCGTGATTTTTTTTATTTTTTATACAATAGCTTACATTGTTATATAATTGTAAAAAAATGTCCAGCTCCAAAAAACTAAAAGTGAATATACAAAAATCTTTAAAAAATATCACACCGATACAGATACTTTAAACGCCCGTGACATCATAGTCTATAATACAGAACTAGTGCTGCCAGCCAATTTAGCGATTTTGCCAACTTTTGTTTTAAGTGAAAGTCTTCATTTTTAGCGCTAAATTGGAAACACTGGCTCTGTTATAGATATATAGACTTTGACGTCATATTCGGACTGAACAATGGCGTTGAGTTTTAACTATGCATTTCCCAGCTATATTTGCACTGTTTAATTATAATTGTATTCTAAATCAAAAAGATGTTACATTAAAAAATATTAACATAGGCTTTCAAAAGCAATAAAGGTTGTAAAAGAAATATTTCACCTTTATTTAAATAACATGCACATTCCCTATTATTTTAGTGAAAAACACATTATACTAGACGAGTGAGATATGACATGTTATTATGCTTCCATAATTACATACATACATATTACTTACATTTTATTATGAATCTTACTTATATCAAGTAGTGAAGTCAGTGATTTGTGTTTCATACAAAATCATAGATACAAAATTCGAACAATATGATTTCTTATAATTTCATATTTGAAAATTATTTAGCAAAGTTATATATGTGAGATTACTCTTATAATGCAAATGGAACAGCTCTACGGATTGTAAGATTCGAATGTCAGATTACAATTAAAGTTCAAATCTGTCAAAGGAATCTCACTGAGAAAGATCTCGCAGAGATTTTATTTATACACAAACAATGACATATTAATCATTTAAATTTTAGTGTTGCATCCTTAATTCCATATGAAACTAACCGTATTTAACCATATTAATACCATGATAGATATGAGTTCATCACATTATAGGTATACCTTACATTTACTGAATACATTTTAGCTTTGAAAGCTTTTAGAGCAACTAATATCATATCATAATTAAAAACAACAATAAATTAACTGTCTATATTTATATGTAAACAGTTTAGAATTAAACATGCCTTTACATATTTTTTTTCAACATTTTAATTAAAATAATCGAAAATGACTCAATATAGCGCTTAAATATCGATATTACATTTACAAGTTAAGATAAACTTGTTTACAACACTATGTATCTATGAAAACAGTATTTTATGACAAAAACTTTAATTATTTTATATAAAGCTCTCTTTTCAACATACAAAAGTTAAACCAACAAGAACATCTAAAACCTCTGAATAATTGCAAATTAGTTTTACTTGCAATCATTACTTTTAAATATTTTGACAGTTACAATTTCTATGACAGCTGTTTTTTTTCAGGCTAAATAAGCTAAGCAAAATTCCAGTACATATAGTGAAAATGTTAAGATAATAGCTACATGATTTATTTAGCATTAAATTATATGACACATGAATTTTCAATCTAACCCTTCAAAATACATTTTTGCTAATTAATTCCAACAATAATTTAAGAAGAATTTAAAAATGAATATTAATCAAAGATGCTGTGTAATCGAATACATAAAAAAAACAATAGTATTACAAAAAAATGTATCAGAAATTCAATGACATTATCCTCAGTACTATGAGCAAATTAAATTCAACACAGAAATGTAATAAATGTTATGAAATTTATAAGGGAAAGTTTCTTTTTTCAATCCTTTTTAACGCAACGGTTAATACTTATCACAGCCTAATAAAATTTAAGGATTATTATTTTTGCATAGAAGCACCTTGCAAAATGTATAAGTTTGTGTGTGTTAAAATTTTCTTATTGCAATTAGAATTGACTTTAAATATAAACTGGGTTTTATAATATCTTTTTCGTCAATCTTAAGTACATGTTCTATTATCTTTCCCTTTCTAAAAACATCGCTATCTCTCTTTATCATGTAATTAATTTATGTCAAAAAATGTAACATAAGCGGATTTGGATTGCGTGTTGACATTTAATACCAATATTTTAATATAATACTTACATTTTAGAGTCACAGAGCAGATAATTTATGACTTTCACTCAAATTATTATTTGTTTTATTTTATTCAAAAAAATATATATTCAAGTGTCATTAACAGTTGATCGAAAAATAGTTTTAGGAACAATATTAACTGGAGATTTTCAAGAAAACTGGTTGAAAAAAAAAATGAAAATAAATTAATCTAGAAAATAAATACTCGAAAAACAAAACTAGGACATGTTATAGATTGCGTAAACAAATCTAACATTGATAATCGTACATTAGAAACTATGAAGATTCTGCTTAAGTTTAAGTAAAATTTAATGATAAAAATTATATTAAAAAAAATTGTATAAAAAAATACTGTACGACCCTACTACAACCATAACTGGTGTGAAATACCATTGTTTGTAAAACCCCATAAATATTTATGAATTCAATCATACCAATTTATAGATAAAGCCTAAAATAACATGTTTCCAAACCTATAATCAGTAATAAAAAAAACATCAAAATGTCTCACAACCAATGTCACATAAACAAATAATAAATAATTTATCAACTTCCTTCTTTACCCATTGTAATTTAATATGTACTTTAAAGATCTTATTTTACCAATCAATCTTCTTCGTGTTTTTGTGAAATAAAAAAATCTATTTGGTTATTATATATTAATTATTTGAAACAAAGTCCTGATAAACTGATGCCGCGCTAACAGTTATAATAATTATTATATTTACATGGCCCTGCCGCACTAACAAATATTTTTTTTAATCACAGCGAACCTTACTCGGCAGTTGCGCCCTCATCGAATAAAATTTATGAAAAGAAAATAATATTTAGAGGTTTTTACAAACAAACGATTCTACAAACGATAATCGATATCTATCTTACCGTCGTATATCGCGAAGGGGCGCGCGCCGTCGCCGCACCTACAGTTCTCATTGAACACGCACATTTTGGATGCGGCACTTTGTTTGGACGTGCTCACTTCGGATATACCGAGTCTCATTTTCTCACAAAAACATACTTTATTACTAACACTGTCTATATTCACTTCGCAATGACGCGAACCGCGAGCTTGATCAAAGACTTTTGTACTTTCATGTACCGTACAATTTGGTAAATCGAAATTTTGTTGCACGCAATTTTGCACGTCAAAATTAAGATGTATGGCATTATGTACTGTGCTGGGTTGAAAGTTGTTTGGTACATTGTCGTTTATGAAATCATTTTGCGTCGTTTCATCGTTTTCGCGATTTCGCACGTCACAGTGGCATAGATTTATTGAGTTTTCCTCTCGGACTCGTGTCATACAAAGTCCAGGGCGTCGTGTGGCTTCGTCGAGAACTTTCCACTGGATCGCTTCTTCAGTGTGCGCTCTATCAGCTTCTTTATTTCGCTCACTATGAACACGCTCGATGTGAGACAGACTAGGAATATGAGATCTGAAAGGGAAATATAACAGTTATAGATACAGAAGGCACAGGTAGTGGTAGTCCAGTGGTAGCGCGCTCGCTTAAGAAACCGATTGAAGCGGGTTCAAATCGCGGGTATTGCACCTTTGATATTCTCATGTGTTTGATGTTCTCATTTCCAACATGATTACCACTTGTCTTACAGTGAAGGTAAACATCGTGAGGAAATCTGCATGTTTGAGAGAACTTAGTAAGTTTTTGAAATACATGCTCAGTTCGCCAAACTTGGCCAGCGTGGTGGACTGTGGCCTATCCCCCTCGCATTAAAGGGAGCCCTGTGGCCAGCATTGGGACGTTAAATAGGGTTAAATATACATAGATACACAAAATTATTGATATCATGATATGGTAATATATCTAATAAAAATTAATGAGCAGTTTCAATGGTCAATGTAAAGTGATATCAAATCAAATCAACCACTTTATTGCGAACTTGGGTTAGTACATACACTTAGATTTTGATAATAATATATTTAATGTTCAGCCAAATTCAGCCTTACAGCATGCAATATTTCAATAATTAAAATATAAATAAAATTACAAATGTTAACATATATTACATAATAACATATTATTCAGTATTACGTTTAACTTCCTGTGTAATGTATGTTATATCATTCTTTTTTAGCTAGTTAATTATAATACTTATAAACCTGCTTAAAATTAAATATTACACCTTATCCAACATATAGTCTTTAACTGAATAATATATTTATTTAATAATAATATTTTTTTTGATAAAATATAAATATTTCATACATACCATGACCAGTGAGAGCTTCAGTTTGAAAAATTCTTTGCAAAGGCGGGAAGTAAATGACCAGCATCTGCCCAACGAGACTCAATGTGACTGCGATCAAAAACATCCTGAAAAATAAAGTTTATATTGAAATTAAATAATATATTTTAAAACCTGTCTATACTTATCTTTGACTATTTATGTAGTAGCCATTCCAAAATGTGAATGACAAAAAAATATACAGACCCCAAAAAAACGTAAGAAGCAATTTTGATTCTTTTATATGAAACTAGCAACTCACCCTCGCTTCGCTCGGGTTCGTCCCAGCTTGCTTTCCAATACAAACTTTTATCCCCATTTTCACCCCTTGATTGATGAGATAATTTCCGGAATAAAAATCCTATGTCCTTCCCAGGGTCTCAAATTATCATCTTACCAAATTTCATCTAAATTGGTTCAGTAGATCCAGAGATTACCCGCTACAACTTCACAAACTTACAAACTCACAAACTTTACCTCTTTATAATATTAGTATAAACTATGACATCTATATAAGAACGAATTGACTATTCGCCCGATCTGCGGGTCTATGGGAAACTTTCCCGTAGCTGATTCGCGGATCAATTAAATTTAGTTCAAGCTTTCAGATCCACGGGAAAATATTCCCGTATTTATCAGAATCCAAATCCGTCAGAATTTTTATATTTACCTATAAATAAGTTCTCGAAAACAAATAATGGGACATTTGTTTTTTTTTTATATATTTTTGATGTGTCAATGTTGTCGGTAATTCATAGACTTTGGAAAATGCTTCTTTATTTTGCGTTCATTATAATTTTTGTATGACATAAAATTATGGAACTCGACCACAGGGACTGGTGACAAATACGTCATACGTGTACGGGACACGGATTGTAAATTAACAAATATTTTGAAACCAACTTGTAAATTTGTGGGTAGACACTGTCTGTAACATGTACATATATAATGAATAACCATTAAGAGACGTCTAAAATCTTAGTCTCTCCTGTGACCATGGTTGCTGTAAAGCATTCGAAATATCGGGCACCAAAAATCAAAATAAATCTGCGAAATATTCCGAAAAGACAGTTTTATTTAAAGCGTCCTATTAGTGAAACAATTTTCAGAATAGCATTAGTTAGTTTCCGAGATGACGCCCTACATCTCTAAATATCAGTGTACAGTGCTTAATATAATTCTTAAATGAAAAATTTAAAAAACCCACAACACAAAAACCTATTGATTGAGGCCATTTCAATAAGCATAAACACGATATCTTTCCGGTAATTTAGTAAAGAGTTAAGTATCTCGCTGTTTGAATTGAAAATGTACATATCTTTTTATCGTTAAGGAAAGAGTTGATAGCATGTAAAGGGTTGAACGGATTTTCTTGATTTATAGCTAAGAACACTTGATCAAGTCACCTTTCACACAAAAAAAAGCTACGGTTCATCCGTTTGAGCACTACAATGCCACAGACAGACAGACAGATACGTTAAATAGTCGGGGGTTAATAAAATTAATACTAACTTGTTTGAAAACAGTCCAATCTGGAATATGCTCTTGTACTGCGAGCGACAGGAGAGAGCGTTGAACATGTCGAATAGGACAAAGCACGTGAACGTCATAGTTGTGTCCCGGGGGGTTATTTTATTGTCCGACATCTGAAATATATAGAAAACCAAAATTTAATAATATACTTAGTCCTTTTTTACGTCCCACTGCTGGGCACGGGCCTTCCTTCAATATGATGGGGATCGGGCCATAGTCCACCACGCTGGCCAAGTGCGGGTGAACAGCACATGTCTTTCGAAAACATGCTAGATTCTTTCAGGCATGCAGGTTTCCTCACGACGTTTTCCATTACCGTAAGACAGACAGACAAAATTCTAATAACTATGGATTCGGCCTCTGTATCGATAATAATGTCTATTTTAATTTAAAAAATTCTAAAAATATTTAATGTACAGATTCGGCTTAGTTACAATTTTATTATATGTATCTGTATTATATAGCTAGCAACTTATCCTCGCTTCGCTCGGTTTCGTCCCTACCTTGCTTCCCAATACAAACTTTCATCCCCATTTTCACCCCCTTAAGAGATGATTTCCGGAATAAAAAGTATCCTATGTCCTTACTAGGGTCTCAAACAATCTTCTTACCAAATTTGATCTAAATTTATTACATAATATTACTAATATTATAGAGAGGTAAAGTTTGTGAGTTTGTGACGTTGTAGGGGGTAATCTCTGGATCTACTGAACTGATTTAGATGAAATTTCGTAAGAAGATAGTTTGAGACCCTGGGAAGGACATAGGATACTTTTTATCCCGGAAATCATCCCTCAAAGGGGTGAAAATGGGGATGAAAGTTTGTACGGGGATTCAAACTAGGGACGTACCCCTGAGTCGCTAGTGTGTGACGCACCTCCCTGTTGAAGACCCAGAGCGTGCCGGCGATGATGATGGCGGCGGAGAGCAGCACGGCGGCGAGCAGCGCGCGCGACAGGATGCGGCGCGACGTGTCGCGCGGCGCGCGCCGCAGCACCGACCGGTCCACGGGCTCCACGCCCAGCGACTGCGCCGGCGGACCTGCCCGACATCGTCGTATAAACTTATACTTTCTTACATTTTAAACTTTTTTATAGTCACTAATATCAAATCAAATTTCAAATTAATTATGAAGTAAAACCTCCTTACGCACGCTTGACTTGGAGAGTCAAAATTGACTTCTTTATTGTGCCTCGAATGCGCTTCGAATAAGACATTTTTATGCTTCAGTGCAATCACGTAAAACTCGCGAGATCTCGCACATTTTTGACCGAAATCAATCTCGCTAAAAACAACCGAGTGATGAATGAATGGCTCCTTACCCTCCTTTGCGTCGCGTATTCGGGTATAAAATAAACACTAACCGTCCATTATGATGTTGATCCACAATATTTGCATAGCATTCAACGGGTTGGGAACACCCAGCAGCGTGGCCAGCGCCACCAGCGACAGCGCCGCGATGGAAGTCGACAGTTGGAAACGGACGAAGTTGCGTATGTTGTAGAATATACATTTCCCTTCCTCTATTGCTGAGCTGGAATTGATTGGGTTTGGTTAGAAGATTGTTATATAGATAAAAAGACAACGTTTGCCTGCAAGAGATATTCTATAATGATGATTTTGGAAAAAAATTAAGTCAAATAAACAATTTCTATATACCTAACCAGCGACTCACCCTCGCTTCGCTCGGGTTCGTCTAGCTTGGTTCGCCATACAAACGTTCACCCAATTTTCACACCCTTAAGGGATGATTTCCAGGATAAGAAGTATATTATGTCCTTCCCAGGATCTCAAACTATCTTCTTACCACATTTCATCTAAATCGGTTTAGTAGATCCAGAGATTACCCCCTACCTCAAAAACTTTACCTCTTTATAATATTAGTATAGACGACACTAGGTCTAAATTAAATGTAAATGAAACCCTTTATAAAATAACCAAAGCCATTCTAAGAAATACTTACATAATTGTAGCGAAATCGTCATCAACTAAGATCATATCGGCTGCTTCCTTACACACATCGGTGCCATTTCCCATGGCTATGCCTATATCAGCTCGCTTTAAAGCCACACCATCGTTGACACCATCGCCTATAAAATATTGGATATGGATTTAAAAGAATAATTTTTGCTCTTGAACTAACACCTTGGTACGTAGAAAGTTTTAACTGCTGAGCAGTTTTTGATAATGCTCAAATAAACAAACAGTTTTAAATTCCAAAAACATACATTTTATGTCAATTACATCCAAAAATAGGTAACATTCTGGTATAGTATTAATAATAAAAGCACTCAAAAATATTTTTTTACATCTCCCCCAAGAAAGTGAAAAAGGGTGAAAATGTTTATATACAAAATAACATTTGTCTGTCTGTATAAAATCATTATTAGAACATATTTGAGTATTTGTGGACATATTTAATAAAAAAAAGGACAAAATCAAATGAATTTACTAGTAAATCATATCACCTGTCATGCCCACGATATTTCCGAGCCTTTGTAGGGACTTGACAATACCCAGCTTGTGTTTTGGTGATACTCTGTAGAACACTGTGACCTAAACGAATGAGAAATTTAATTTTAATGTTATAATTACAAAAATAATATTATTATTAATAATCTAATATATAAATATCTCGTGTCACGATGTTTTTTGTCGCACTCTTCCGAAACGGCTCGACCGATTTGAATATTTTTTTTTTGTATATTTGGTAGGTATGAGAATAGGTCGTAAAGTATTTTTCAGCCTTCGCCACCGCCTTTCTTAATCGCAATTTTAGTATTTTTGTATGAACTACACTACTGAATACTATATAAATAAAAGAGAAGAAAAAGCAAAAGAGTTTTTTTTTGTAGATTGAACGTGGGCAAAGTCGCGGGTTATACTAGTAAAATTATATAATAATAATTTAACATTTTTTTATATAATTTAAAAATATTATTTATAATCATACTCCATACCGGACTTAATTAAAGCTAGCCTTATTTTAATGAAACTTTTTCAATGTACAGATAAAATATTTACGTTTTACTAAAACCTTTACAATGACAAAAAACCACTGCTAACTGTATGTATAATAAATAAAAATTCAATTATTATGAAAAACAAGTTTAAAAACTAGTATACATAATATCAGAATATACTCATTAAGTATGGTAGGCAGAATTATAAAATTAAATATAAGCCGGTGGCAGCTTCCTCACGGACTGACTACTCTGATCTTTCATTAAATTGACGATTCAAAAGTACTTGTAATAAGTCTAATTGAATAAAGTTTATGTCGATTCAATTCAAAAAAAAACTTACAGAATCAATAATGGCGTCCAAATCGTCGTCCGACATCGTGTCGAGTTGTTCACCAGATAAGGACTGCGAGTGCAATACGTCCAGACCCACCATTTGTGCTAGAATAATGTAATAAATAATAATAAATAAATTTTGTTTAATTGTTATTATTTGTAGTTTTATTATTTGAGTAGACATAAAACTGTCATTAAGTAAATGGGGAAGACACTAGCTCGTACAATACAGTTTATACGAGCTCAGGAATTAGGAAATTCAATACCACTTATATGTGTATAATTATGTAAATAAAGTATTTATTTATCTCACGAGAAAGACCATAGACGGTTTGAATTTAGAACACGATTACTGTAAAGAAGATTTCGTACATTGTAAATTTGAATTTAGAACAAGATTACGGCAGTGAAACAACAAAGAAAAAGGCAAGAGATTATTGGTATATAGCTAGCGCGGTGGGCCACGCTTTCTCGTCAGAATCTTGTTAGGAACATGAATATAATATTATAAGGGTTTCGTTTTACACTTTTATCTACGGAACCCTAAGCCTAAAAAGGCAAGACTACTAACCAACAGCCAGAGCAGTAAGGCGCGCGATTCTCGCGAAATTTTTGCTAGGAACGTAAGGGTTCCTAAACCATTTAGTTATGGGACCCTAACTCTAAAATGGCTATCGCCCACTCACTAATAGCCATCACAATAAGACACGCGATCCCCGAAAACATTTTCTTAAAAGCTAAGAGTACCTAAGTTATTTAGCTAAGTGACCCTAAATTTAAAAAGACTTAAACTCACTTACTAATAGTCACTACAGTAAGACAAGTGATCCCCGCAAACATTTTCCTAGGAACCTAAGGTTCCCTGAGCATATAGCTACAGGAACCTAAAAAACACTTAACTCTTCACCGACAGCGAACATATTTTACAAGGAACCTAAGGTTCCCCAAACATTTAGCTGCGGGAACCTAAAAAAAAACCAGTAGACCCCTCACCGACAGCGAGCGCGGTGGGTCTCGCGTCCCCGGTGAGCATCTTGACGTGCACGCCGGCGCGCCGCAGCGCCGCGATGGCGTCGCGCGCCGACTGCCGCGGCGGGTCGCACACGCCGCACACGCCCGTGTACGTCAGCGCGTCCAGCCGCGCGCCGCGGCACAGCGCTATTATACGGAGACCTGCAGACATTGTAGTTACGATTATTTCTTGCCTTAGGGAAGGGCAACAAATTAGTTTTTTTTAATGTAAAAGAAATTAATAACATTGCGATATTACGATAAGGCGTTCAATTGGGCAGGATTTGAACTCAGATTTTGCATCATTAATATTTTTATGTACAAATTACTTTCAATATAAATATCAAAAAATATGACAATGAAATTTACTTCGTTCATCTCAGCGAGCTTAAATAATTTCCAAAAGTAAAACGTTTAAAGGTATTCAAATATGCCATCTCTCATCAAACCCTTTTAAACGCACAACTGAGCTGAGTATGGGTCATTGCATTGAAAACCATGCAAGGGAGATCAAGCCATTGCCCACTACGCTGGCCAAATACGGGGCGGACTCCACATGTCTTACGAAATCTTGCTAGGTTCTCTCAGACATGCAGGTTTCCTCACGATGTTTTCCTTCACAGTAAGGCAATTTGATTGGGACAAAAAATTCAGAAATACGAGACCCTGAATATAAACCTGCATCATTTGGTTTTCCAAGCGAGCACTACAACTGGGCTACTGCTCTACCTATACATTGAAATATATCAACAACTAGCATTGCCCGCGTTTAGATGAAATAAATTCTTAGGTTTTACATTTCAGTGTACTCTTATATTGCAGTTTTTGTATTTTTTCTCAAAAATGAGATATTTTCGCGCGGTAAAAAATATCAAATATCATGTAGTAAGTAGTCGTACCAAATTTCATCAAAATCCCTCCAGTGGATTTTCTGTGATGCGGTAACAGACAGACAGCCAGACAAAAATTCTAAAAACTCTAGATTAGGCCTCTGTATCGATAATAATGTTTATTTCAATAAGATTTTCCAAAACATATTTAATATACAGATTAGGCTTAGTTATAATTTTATTATATATATATTATAACTAAACTCACCCATCCTCCCAATATTGTATGCTTCATTCAAGAAGTCCGTCTGTTTCTCTTTGGTCATAGGCGCGTAGTTTCCAGAACTGTCTATGTAATTAGTACACAAGGGCAAAACTTTTTCAATGGCACCTTTCACAAATAATTCCTCTTTCAATTTCGCATCGTTGAACTTCGGTGCACATTTCACCACCATCATTTTTGTTTCTGAGCTGTGGATAAAATAAAATAAAATATTTTCAATAAAACTATGTATATTTACGGATTTTCCGCAGATTTATTAGAGATTCTCTCCCGTGACCATGATTGATGTAAAGCAATCGAAACAAAAATCAAAATAAATCACAAAAGATAATAATTTCTTCGATTTACGCAAATATTTGACATTATAAATGACTAAAAACTATCTTTACGGATTTGCGGATTTATTTTGTGATTTTTGGTTCCTTATTTTGGTTTAAAGGGAACCAAAAATCAAAATAAATGCACGAATAAATTCAAAAAGATAGTTTAATTAAAATCCGAAAAAGTCGAATATTTGCATGAACCTAAGTATTCTGAAAATGTACAATAAAAAAAAATATATTTTATATTATGTATATTTAAATTTATTCATTCAACACAAACTCACCTAAAAGGTATTTCATTGAGTCTCGTATACTGTTCTCGGAAGTCGTGCATGTTGTTCTTCATGGCGCACGCCAGCAGCGCGCCCTCCGTGGGCTGCCCGTACAGAGTGTCGTCGCGAATCACCGCGTTATTGCATAGAACACCCACCTGGTAGTAAATATTATTATTATTATTACTGATATTATACAAACTGTTTGTCTTTGTTTTCATACCTATAAAATACTAAATCGATTTTAATAATATTTTAAGAATCAACCCATAGGTATGTGCGCGTAGAAATGATCTTACTATTGGTATATATACTTCTTCCTGCCCATTTCCCAAATTACTTGGGGTCGGCGCAGTACGTCTACCATACTGCTGATAGGATTTGGCAAAAGTTTTACGACCGGCCGCCTGCCTGACATCAACCCTCTTTGGGAACGCTGTTGTTTACCAACGTCATGCAGAAAACCTGAGGTGTGATAACCAGCACAAGATCGTCTTCTACGACACTTGCAGTTTTTATCTTAATTTTATTTGCCGCGTCGTTTCAATATCACAATTTAGAGTTAATTTTGTTAAATATGTAATCATTCAATTTCATGTCGAACCATAATGTACACCAAAATTTAGCAACTTTTTCACTACTTTCACTGGCATAGCCAATTGCTTACGTTATTCATAACTTAATACTTGAAGAGCTCTTAAATTTACTTCTTTAAATGACACACATATTCGGGGATGTTATGTTTACTCTTTCCAAAACGTATTCATTTTTGGTCCCTTGAACCTGAGAATCTTTTAAGGCATTTCAATAGTTTTCTTAGAAGATCAAAGTTTATTTTATTTTACTATATAATTTTTAATAAATTTTCACACATTTTTATTTTGACATTTGTTGTCATTTTTTTCCTCAATTGGTGTATATATACTATAAAATTAAAATAAATCGTTATTTTAATAATACCAGAACTCGAACTGACTTTTGAATGTAGCTACCCACTAGACCAAAGAGTCAATTTTCTGAATCAATACGTCACTTACACAATGATCTAGTTTGGATCTAGGTAATACCCTCATACCAACTCACCTCCAACATACTGGTAACACCCATCCTGGCCACGTCCAGGTCCCGGCCCTTGTACGCCCTCAGCTGTACGTCCCCCCGAGCGCTGTACCCTGCACCCGTCACTTCAGCTATATGCCCACCAGATGTTGACAAAGTAGTCACTGTCATCTCATTCTTTGTCAATGTTCCTGGGAATATATGTAGATTCATTTATTTATTAATCCTTTATTACACCAAAACAAATATACAATTAAAAAAAATATATAACTTTGCAAATATATTTTAGTGTAAAGGCGGCCTTATCACTAAAGTTATCTCTTCCAGGCAACCTACATATATTATAAAGAAACTCGTAGGGTAGCATGGATTATGGTAGGTGCAGTTTTTTTTATTCAAGTTATACTTCGTTTCAAAAAAATATATGAGAGTAACATTTTTACGATGCCCGCGCACACCGATAGCCAAAAAGCGACAAGAGAAAGTTAGCTAATAACTGTTTGTTGCCATGATAACCGTTGTTACAAATGATATATAATATTATATTCTTTCCTTAAATGATATTCTATAAATATATGATTGTGATATGCCTAATATGCCTTATTTAACTATTTTATTAATTTATCATTCCTTTAACAAATAGAGAGTTGTGACATACAGAATGAAATCTTTAGCTATTTTTAAAGTTTTTTTTCTAAGAAGTATAACTTCGTACGTGCGTACATAAGTACAGACACACACGTTTTTTTAATTTATTTTTGGGAAACAAACAGTAGATATTACATAAAGAATAATAAGATAACAAACACACAACACAAAGCCAATCAAGTTTCTACATATTAAAAATAAAATAAAAAACAAAAAGTCAAAAAGTAAAAAGACAAAAAGTCAAAAAGTATTTCTTGGGTATTACTTAGTGACTTCGTTTTGAAACCATAAACAAGAGAATCGAATTGAATTTAAGTCGATTATTAAATTTATTTTATTTTGTTTTAAATATTACTTTTGCATGTCAAACAATGTTTGACTGAAGGGATTTGGCGCTGCTATAACTGAAATACAGTTTTCCTAGTTCAGTTACAGATGCTTAATTCACTTAATAGCGATATTGTTTTTTGGCTTAAATTATTTTGTAAAAACTTTTTGGATAATAAATTATTATTATTTAAAAAAAGTCAACTTCCAAAAATGAGTGTTGAAGTTAAAAATAGATTCCACTCTGAAATTTATCATACAAATGTCAAGTAAAAAAATCAAATATTACGATAAAAAATATTTACTTTTAAAGTGATTGTGTAATCGGTTTCCCCTTATAAATAAAAAAAATAAGGCGTTACTTAGCAACTAAGGACTACATAACAAATATTTGTCCACATCAAAGTAAAAGCTTTTTGCTTTCCATTATATCAAAAAGCAAAAAAAAACACAAAAACGGACGGACAGTGTGGATTTAAGTAATAATATTTAAAACCATTAAGGTTGCCATCAATATCTTTAAGGTACAGATAAACCCAACAAAACCACAACCCAAACAAACTCACCTGTCTTATCACTGCATATAACATTGACACAGCCCAAAGTCTCTACAGTGGGCAGCTTCTTCACTATCGCATTACGTTTCGCCATACGCATCACACCAAGAGCTAAAGTCACTGTCACTACGATCGGTAGACCTGAAAAATGGGTTACAATATAAAAACTCTAATATTTTCTTAGATTTACGCGAATGTTTGACATTTTAAATAACTATATAATGCCTTTGAGACGTCTAAAATGTAAAGCATTCGAAACGTCTGGAATCTAAAATCACAATAAACGCGCAAAAAATCCAAAAAAATAGTTAAATTTAAAATAAAAACTTTAACATTCAGATGTGAATAAATAAGCAAATATCTGCAATTCAGTCCGTATAAATAAAAACAAAAGAAAGAAAATAAATTCGACCGCTGGGTATAATCAAGTCGTATGGCAACATATTTTTGCCTTCTACGAGAATTGAAGAATGTTAATACATAATAAATAGCCAAATGAACATATAATAGTATTTTTATTTTTCTCTTCAATCAGACGACTCGAGAACTAAAGCATCATTAAAACTTCGTGATTCAAAGATTTAGTAATTAATTCCTACATTTACGCGATCTCATACAAGACGGGAGTCACGTTTAAAGGTTGTGGAGAGAAGTGAAAAGGAGCAAAGACGTACAGTGCCTATAATAGGCAAATTAATTTATGTCAATATCATTAGAATTGTCGAAAAACTTTTATAATCGAACCCATTCAAGAAAAAAAAATGTAATTTAAAAAAAAATAACCCATTATCGTCCATAAAACTTTAACTACAGTACTTGTATTATAACTGTGCCACTCTAAATAATATAAATGACCGCGCAACAGTCTTTATTACTACTACCTAAGAATTAATAGGTATGGGGGAATAACAGCATTGCGTTCTCGGCATACTAAAAATATATTTACTATATAATATAGAATATTATGTACTATGTTGTATATCTTATGTCAGTCTGTCCAAAAACCCATTCCATGTTTCTTTGAGCTGTTAAGGTATCGCACAAAGGATTAGACACATTTATATAATTACCTCTACTTTATAAGTAAAGTAAGTATAAGTAAAGTAAAAATGTATATAATATAGAATATAAGCACTTTGTATACTAATTATTAATAAAAAAAATATATCTGTACATCTCTTTTTTTATGTATTTCGTGTATGGTCTGCTTTGTAGTTTCTTTTTATTTTTTATTTTTAAACAACTTACCTTCAGGTATAGCAGCTACCGCCAAACTAACACCAATAGTGAACATCTCCTGTATAGCCTTCCCTTGCAACCATCCAGCCAACATAATAAATCCTATGATGCAGAAAGAATACATGGACAACTGAGTGCCGAGGGTGTCCATGGACTTTTGCAGGGGTGTTTTGGGCGCCTCCTCAGCTTGCATCATACGAAACATGTCACCGAATTCCGAACGTTCCCCAGTGCTTACTACAATACCCTGAAATTAGTTTTACATACACATATTTAGTATATATCTATACATATAATAAAACTGTAGGTACGAATGTCTGTATATAGAAAAAATTGCTAAAAACCGAGTCAGGGGGATGTAAGAAGAGAAATAGAACAAATACAGATTTTTTTAATTTTTTTGTTTCTCTGTCTGTTCATCTTTTTGTCTGTTTGTACGGGCTAATCTTTTTTGCTTCTAGGGCTCTTTGCATGGTAATATCTTATATTCCCGGTCAACATTTTAGATACTTTTCATCCCAGAAATTTAAAGAGTTCCCGTGGGATAGTTCTTGCACTAATAGGAACGTACATTACCGCCGAGTAGTACATAGAAAAATGTGTTTCGTGTCAGAAATCATAACAACTTTAACTGAAGTCGGTAACCTACAAAATGTATCTACGGACCAATATGGGCGGAGAGAGGTAAAGTCGCTAGTATATACATACATATTATACAACTTGTCCTAATTGTACATACCTACTATAGATTTGTACATTTACCCATATAAGTGTAATTATTATATTTAATAAAAGTTTAATATCATTCTCACAACAGACGCCATTATTTACGATCACGCATGTGTCATTTAATTATTCAATATAATATACGATAATCAATATTTAATGAATTTGTAATAAATGTTGACATTTATCGCCATCTACACAAGAATAGGTTATCTTGTCCAGTAAATAATATTTTGATTGTAATTTTCGTAGCTAAATTTATATTATTCCTTCACTCAAGACTAGGAAACCAGTTAATTTTCCGAACCGGTTAAGCCATAAATAATTAAGAACTTAATATTTCGTTTTCGTTCCTTAGGGGGCATCCATTAATTACGTGAGGCGTTTAGGGGATCCCGGGAGGAGGTCGAGCAAAACCTCACTCAATCTCACGTGGGGGAGGGGGTGGTCTCGACAAATATCACGTAATTTTTTTTCCGCAAGAAACAATGTAAAATTGCGAAAGGACTGGATTAATTTAAGTAAAAAATGTTTCTCCACTAAAATATGGCTAAATCATATATAATATAATATATTCATGGCGGTTCAATTATGCACTGATAGAAGAATTTATTTACTAACCAATAAATTATTTTTTTTGGAAACAACTTATTTATTTATTATTTATTAAGTAATAACAAATATTTCTTAACATTCAATAAATATTCGTTAATTATTAATAAATATTTATTAATAGTAAATAAATTATACGTGAGTGAATATTTCTTTTTCATACACAGTGCGATGGGAAGATCATTCATAAAAAATAATGCCATAACCTTTTTTTGTATAATGTTCATCTTCACTGAAAAAAATCTATATAACTGAAAAAAAATCTCATGTGAGATTAGGGGATCCAGCAAAATCTCACGAAATCTTACCAATGGGGGAGGGGGGCTCGAAAAATCTCACGTAATTAATGGATGCCCTCTTATAAACCGGTATAATAAGGGTTAAGTTATATTTTACGCAACTTCTTTTAAATTTAAAAACACCCCACAATCATGTATTTTAATATTTATTTAATAAAATCAGCTTCTGTCAGTGTTTTGACTCTAGGAACTTTAATAAAATAAACAAAAACATTTATCATGTTTACACAGGTCGTAAAATAGCTGCCGTGTTTACATAAACCGGTTTATTTCGGTTATGGAACGAAATGATTATGGGTTTCGTTCTCAAAGAAACCTTTACGCGAAAGCCCTTTTTAACGTCCCATTGTTGGGCATAGGCCTCCCTTCAATACGAGGGGGATCAGGACATAGTCCACCACGCTGGCCAAGTGCCGGTTGGCGGACTTCACATATCTTTCGAAAACTTGCTAGGTTCTCTCAGACATGCAGGTTTCCTCACGATGTTTTCCTTCACCGTAAGGCAAGTGGTAATCATGTTAGAAATGATTCGCACATGAAAATATCAGAGATCACTCGGTTTCCCAAGCGAGCGCGTTACCACTGGGCTACCACTGCCTAACCGTAATCCGTTATTAACCTTTTTTAATCGCTATTATACAAACCGGTTCCAAACCCTTGTAATAAATACTCGTAGTATCTATAACAAGAATTATGAAAGCCATTACAAAAGAAAGAATTATGATGACCCAACTGACCTTTGCATTTCCACATCTAACTAGGGTGCCCATAAACGCGATGTTATCTTTATTAACCCGTCCAGCGGAAGCTTTATTCGGTAAGACACTTTTAACTGCCGGCTCAGTTTCACCAGTAAAGGAAGATTCGTCGATGCATAAATCCGTCGATTCATACAATCGCAAGTCTGCGGGCACCCTATCTCCGACATTAAGGTGTATTATATCGCCGGGTACCAGATTTCGTGCGAGGAAATGTTCTAAGCTGCCTTCGCGAAGACTGAAAATAACACTTTTTATAAGCACATTTAACTAAACTAATACATTTAGTCATTTTATATCAGAGAGTAGTTTTTATTGAATTTCTTCTTGTCTTTTAAGAACTGGTAACTTAACTTCTAGCTATTAATTAAACTTTTGTGGTATCCAAGATCATGTTTTTTTAATCAATTCAGTATTTTGTATGGTTAATATAATACGTAGAACCGTTCATAGGACATCATTAAAGACAATTTTTCAGTAAAATTGAATTAAACTTTATTCAATTAGACTTATACAATCACTTTTGAATCGTCAATTTAATTTAAAGAGGGTCAATGTAGACAGTCCGTGAGGACGCTACCACTGCCTTTTGAAAAGCAGTTCTGCTGAGATGATACGACGAAGAAAGGCGAATGAAATATATTAAAAGTAAAAAGTGTCCAAAACTAACGAAACACTTACCAATTGCATGACGGTGGTACCAGTTTGTTAAGTTCTTCGAGCGACTTCTCCGAGCGATACTCCTGCACAAAGGCAACGGTCACAACGATCATGATCGCTACAGTGATGGATATGGCGTCATCGAACTGTTTCATACACACGCTGACCACTGCGGAACCTATTGACAAAAAATAACCTACAGTTATATTTGACTTTAGGCCAAAAAAATACCAAAAATTATAAGTGAGAAGGTGTGTATGTTTGCTTTTCCTTCGTGCTGAAAGGGATGGACTAACTTGGAAGAAATGTAGTACCCATGTACACGTTTTTTCTGACGTTGGGAAATGCATTCACGAATGCCACCTGCATACATATAGGTGGTTATGTGGGACTCACCGGGTTGAAAGCCAGTGCTACCCACTAAAACCTCACCTGTCTTAATGGGGCATTTAAGGAACGCTTACGCACTCAACCACGACGCCCCGGCGGCAGATCTGCCGAAGCAGACCACAACAACCAAGGGATTGCTCCCACGGTCCACTCTGCTATAAGAGAGAATCATGTAGGTACAACTGGAGTAACTCATAGGCTACTACTATTTATAATTTTGTCTAAAGGTTACGGTACCTGTACATAACATAATATTAAAAATACAAAAGACACGAGAACAGAAGAGAAAGGACGCAACCCAGTAAAAGGGTAGTAAGTCGCTACTAAAAAATAAACCGAGCGTAATCGGTAGTCAAGTACTAGTGGAATATTATTAAACGTTTAAAAACTTTCATAACTTTCGATATCAATAAGAGAACTCCTTTTACAGTCATCATAATTAGCCAGTGAAAGTATTTGGAGCAAATAAAAGTTATATGGATGTTTGTTTCAAGCTAAATGAGGTCCGGCAATGATTATTCAGTTGTCGATTTATTCATAACATTTTTCTCCTGATATATCGTTTTCTATATATTAATATATTTAAACGAGTGATTCTTGTATATTTATTATTTATTTATATCGGCGATCTCGAAAAGGGTACTAACGATTTCGCTGAAATTTGGTATGTGCGGGTTTTCGGGGGCGAAAAATTGATCTAGATTAGACTTGTGTCTGGGAAAACCCGTGTTTTCAAGTTTTCATGCGGTTTTCTTTCGCCACGCAAATATGGTCTCTAATTTTGCACGCTCGGGCATCTGCATCGAGGTCAAGCGGCCAAGGCGCAAGATTGACAACCACAGGTACCCGGGTTCGATTTCCGGTTGTATACCAAAGTTTCAGTTACTTCAAGTTTTTAATAAAAAAAACTTCTGGCCAAAAACTCCGAACGAAGCTCAGTCGCCCAGGTATATTAATATATAAAACAAAGTCGGGTTAGTTACACCATTTATAACTCAAAAACGGGTGGACCGATTTTTGTGATCTTTGATTTGTTGGATTTGTCTCCCGAATAGCAAAATAACTATTAAAACATGGGAAAATGTATATAATATGTATGTTGTATAAAGATTGAAAATTACTCCAGTGACAGATAATCTAAGTAGTAATAGGTTAGCGTGGTATGGGCACTACTTGACTGAGGAGATATGAATATGGATAGATACAGACGCAAAGGTAGATCAAGGGCTGTATGGATGGACTGTACGAAAGAGGATATACGTGTGAAAGTGTGCTAGTACGACAGCTAATAAAAGAAAGTGAAAGAAGGAAACATGAAGTCCCGACACCACGTCATAAGTACAAAGAGAAAGGAACTTTGGGTGTAAAAGACCAACTTTTTTAAATATAACATTCTTAAGTCAACAACTCATAAAGGAAAAAGTTTTAAAGCTTAACTTTAACGACAATTTATAACTCTTAAAATAGCTTAATTCTTAGAATAGGAAGCTCGTAAAGCTCATTTATTAGGATATTAATCATAAAACAATCGCATGGGAAAATCTGAGCGCAAACTGCAGGTTTAATAAATGCTTATAAATAATAATTAAGCTTGAGGGATTGCCTTACAATAATTTAGAAAGTGAGTACACTCATTTGATATATTTACTCGTAGCCATATATAAAGCAGGATAGCTGTTAGCTGCAGATGAATAGAAGAATAATTTTTGCACAACAATTGTACTAAATATAACAAAAATATAATAGTGAAATAACATAGTGCGTCAAACATATTATTATGTATAATAAAGGCATTGACTGATCTGTAAACAATTTACATTATACAATACAATATCGTTATTTGCACAGACACTGTTGTCAAATCTATACATATAATAAAATTGTAACTAAGCCGAATCTGTACATTAAATGTTTTATGGAAAATCTTATTGAAATAAACATTATCTTCGGTACAGAGGCCGAATCAATAGTTTTTCAAATTTTTGTCTGTCTGTCTGTTACCGCATCATGGAAAAGCCACTGGACGGATTATGTTGAAATTTGATATGATGATAGCTGGTTATCCGGGTCAACATATAGGATACTTTTTATTGCGAGAAAATATCTCATTTCTGATAAATCTATATATATAAAAGAAAGTCGTGTTAGTTACTTCGCTTATAACTCAAGAACGGCTGAACCGATTTAGCTGAAAATTGGCAGGGAGGTAGTTTAGAGCCAGGAGAAGGACATAGGATACTTTTTATCCCGTTCGACCGCGTTCCAATTTTTATGATATTTTAATTTTTGGATTTCTCTTAGTCCGGAATAGGTAAGTATTAAAACATATAATTAAAATGTGAGAAAGAAAGATTTTTTCTTTTTATATCTATTTAAAACGTACCTAGCGACGAACCCGAGCGAAGCGAGGGTGAGCCGCTAGTCTATACTAAACGTTAAAACGTAAGTAAATTATAAAACACTAGTTTAAAGCACATGCTCTGCTCGCGTAATGTTGAAGTACCTACAAATAGAAAGTAGTCTATCTCCAATCCCATTTTCACTTACGTTAAGACTAATAAGTCGTTACAGCGTGAATGAGTAACAAAACTCAGAAACTTATAATCTTACATCTATAATATTTGTAAATATATTAAAGACTTAGTACTTATTACGTTGTACTCATCTGGCAACACAAATTGTGTAATTATTTAAAATAGCAGGTTCGATTCCCGCACGAGGTTAATAGTTATAATGACTATACAAATGTTTCTCTTGGATTGGTTTACAAAACGTATTAACATGATAAGCAGTAGTAGTAGTCTGGAGGAAAGGCGTAGAAGACAGTCATACATTCATTAGTAGTATTTAGATTAATTTACATTTCCCCATTACAATCGCGATGACATTTATAATTTCGCATTTAGAGTGACAGATATCGAAGATAGAGTTAGTTAATACTCAGTTAATTATACTCTTTAATATAATAATTTGTGCAACGTTCAAGTCATATATACAGATATATCAAGTTGAAGTGTCTGTCTGTAATGTCAAAATAACAGCTTTTTACTAATTGCACATAAAAGTATATACATACCTACGGTATCTACTTATAGGAATCTACCTAATCTACTTATAAATTATCAATTTTTAAAAAAATTGTCTGTTTGTCGGTTCCGGGTGTAATCTCCAGTAACGGCTGGACCGATTTTGACGAGACTTTTACTGGTATATAACTCATGTTATAAGGAGTAACTTAGCTCACTTTTATTTTAGAAAAAGGATTATAGTTTCGCGCAAAAAACTAAAACCTATGAAATTATGATCAAAATCCGCATACCCTCGGACGCACCCGAGCGAAGCTAGAATAAGTCGCTAGTTTATATATTAGTATAAAATATCAATTTCAATTTATTTTCTTTAGCAAATATTATTTTCGTAATAAAGTAATAATTTTATAGTGAAGAATTTAGTGTACTTTACGAAGGCAATAAACAGGCAAGCAAATTACTAACAAACGAACTTGCTGTTTTACTGCTAATAACACAATTTGTACGAGTACGAGATGTTGTCTTAAGAAACATGGGTTAAACATTGAACGTAATATTTGCAGCGTAAATTATTGTAAATGGTTATATATTTAATTAACTTCTATGTGTGTTCAAAAGCAATAATTGGAAATACTTCATTTTTTAGTTAGTCATAAGGACCATTACTGGTATATGTATTTATTCAGCCCTTTTTTAACGTCCCACTTCTGGGCACGGGCCTCCCTTTACTACAAGGAGGATCAGGCCATAGTCCACCATGCTCGCCAAGTGCGGGTTGGCGGACTTCACATGTCTTTCGAAAACTTGCTTGGTTCTGTCAGACAAGCAGGTTTTTCACGATGTTTTACTTTACCGTAAGACAAGTGGTAATCATATTGGAAATGATTCGCACATGAAAATATCAGAGGTGCGAGACCCGGGGTTCGAATTCGCATCACAAGTGAGCGTGTTGCCACTTCACTACCACTGCTTAAACTGTTATATAATATAACCATAACATAACAATATGTTAGGTGTGAGAACTAAACTTAAATTCTGTAGGTACTCAACTAGAGGCTAAAATTTTAAATTTTGATTTAGCTTTCAATCAACATTTTTAATTTCTCCTGTGTGTTTCTTGGCTCTCTCCCGTAACCATGATTGCTGTAAAGCATTCGAAACGTCGGAAACCAAAAATCAAAGTAAATTCGGGAAAAAATCCGAAAATATAGTTTTATTTAAAATGTCAAATATTCGCGTAAATCTAAGAAAGTACTATTTTTAATTTTGATTATTTTACTAGCCACGATGTAACGAACAAAGAATATGGACAAAGATTTGTCACAGACAGACAAAAATTCTAAAAACTTTATACTCAGCCTCTATATCGATAATAATTACTATTTCAATAAGATTTTTCAAAAAATATCTAATGTACAGATTCTACTCAGAATTTTATTATTTGTATAGACTAACGAAAACTACTCTATTAGTTCATTTAATTTTAATTGGAACGTCTAACTTGAGATTAAATTTGATCAAAAGCTTCCATTCCAAGGGTCTCCCCATTTAATTTCAACTTTGTATATGTAGGTAGGTACATAACAGCCAGGAGATTTCAAGAATAATTGATGGCTTATTCCATTCCATCTTTAAGCGGTTCATAATTATATAAATGAAACTTGCTTAAATATCTATACATAAAGAGGCAACAACAAAACAATCCAGTATGTTTTTCTTGTCTGTTTGTCAATTGATTTTCTTTTGTTTAGTAGCTGTT